GGATCTTTCTTTAATCTTCTGTGTTAGCTGACTTTCTCTGAGGGCCACTCTAGCAGAAGTAGTCAGGACTGCCACCTTATTACTGCCAGATACAGACAGAAATTGAAGTTTCTACTCTGCATCCATTAACATCCAAGGAGAGGGATCCTCCTCCTGATTGCTGGGCAGGGATGAGCGTTCCAGGTTCCCACTAGGCCTCTGCTAGTCTAACAGGAACAGGAGAACCTTGTTACCGCTCACATGCTTCACTGACACCAGTGGGGTGGTGACCTTGTTACCAGGGAATGGTGGTGAGAACCCGGACTCTTCACCAGGCCTTCTGTACTCCACCTGAGGGCAGAGGGGCATTCTCTGCTTATTACAACCTGATGGTGGTAGAAGTCCACATTCTCAGGTGATTTCTAATAAACACTGGAGGAGTTGAGAGAGAGACTTCATTATATCCTGGTAAGGGTGGACCTTTTACGTTTGCCATTGAAGGGAGTTGGGCTGTAGTATTTTCAGTGGTGTTTGACTTGAGCGAGTGCTTATTTTCTAAGAATTTTCTGTCATACTAAGCTTCTTTCCTGGTCTTTTGGCTAGAGAAAGAACAGGCTTTTGTGTTGGGGCTTTTTGTCAACCCCAGTTGCCATTTCTAATTTGCTGGTTTCTTCACTCCAAGTTTGGGATATGCGAGGCAAAAAGAAGCCCAGAAACTGACCACTAAATTGTTGCTCAGGTGTGCACCTTTCAGCATCTTCTGCTTGTTTTATATATAATTCCTAGAGATTTTAGTTGTACCTAGTGGAGAGAAAAAAAGTACATGTACTCTCTTCCTGGAAGTAGAAGCTATTTCTTTTACCTGTTAAATTTTTTTTAAAAATCTACCTCCATCATCCCATTCAAGTTAGAGTCTCCACTTTAGAACCAAACTCTTTGGAAGCATTTGCCTATACTTATTTTCTCTTAAAACCTATTCCAGTAAGATTTTTATCCCTACTATTCCTCCAAAATAACTTTTTTTCCCCCAAATTAATATGAGTGTACACAGTTTCAGGTTACATTGTTCTCACTTTCAAGGTAAAGAAAGTTCAAGTTGTAGAGTCCTTTTAACAAGGGGGCATGCTGATCCCCTCCCATTGTGCACACTAGTAAGATCCTGCCAGTTGTCTGCCCTCCTCCACTCTCCCTCCTCTCCCCTCCCCCTTTCTAGACTATATTTGTGTTTTATCATTGGCCAGGGCATAGAATTGCAAAATAGCTCTTATGTAGATGTCATTTACAAGTGAATAATAAAAGCAATAATACTTAACAAAACTTGTAGTTGCAGCTAAAGTTGTACTACAAAGGGAAATATGTAGTCTTAAATGCTATGTTAAATGAATTAAATTCTGGAAAGATTGGTCAAGAGAAACAATGACAAGTAAATAATGTTGGTTTGCGCCTGTAGCTCAGTAGCCAGGGCTCTAGCCACATACACCAGGGCTAGCATGTTTGAACCAGCCTAAGCCTGCCAAACAACAATGGCAACTACACCAAATTGTAGCTGGATGTTGTGGTATATGCCTGTAGTCCCAGGTACTTGGGAGGCTGAGGCAAGAGAATCATTTAAGCCCAAGAGTTTGAGGTTGCTGTGAGCTGTGACACCATGGCACTCAACCCAGGGCAACATAGTGAGACTGTCCCCCCCCCCAAAAAAAAAGTAAATAATACTAATACAGATTAGAAAATTGTAATCAACATATTTCAAGGAATATGTGAAATAATCTGAGTATCAGCAATATATAAATGACCAATACATTCAAAAAGAAATAGAAAATCTCAGTGGTCCTAAAGTCATCAAAAATGTTGGTTTAGAGTGGTGCCTGTGGCTCAGTGAGTAGGGCGCTGGCCCCATATACTGAGGGTGGAGGGTTTGAACCTGGCCCCAGCCAAACTGCAACAATAAAAAAATAGCTGGGTGTTGTGGCAGGTGCCTGTAGTCCCAGCTACTTGGGAGGCTAAGGCAAGAGAATTGCCTAAGCCCAAGAGCTGCAGGTTGCTGTGAGCTGTGGCACCATGACACTATACTGAGGGTGACAAAGTGAGACTCTGTCTCTTAAAAAAAAAAAAAAAGTTGATTTAGTAGTTAAACATCTTTCTTTCCTTCTCCCAATCAAAAAGGTCTAGATGATTTCTCATCTGAGTTCGGACAAATGCTAATTCCAAAGCTATACGTGTATAAGCTACTTTAGAAAACGGGTGAAAATGGTAATAATACTCATTTCCTTTTCTGGAGCCTATACACAAGCTTTTTATCAAACTAGCAAGGAGAGTATCTAAGAGTGAAATTTACAAACCAGCCTCAGGAAAATCGCAAAAATTAATCTAGCAGTGTGTAAAACGGTTAACATGACCTAATTTGACTTATTTTAGAAATGTACGGTTTAACTAATGTTAGAAACTTGTTCCTTCCCCCCCAGTCACATTCCCTATGGATAGCAACAGTTAACAGCTTCTTATATGGCATTCTGGAAGCTTTTGTTGCACATGTGAAGCTTTGTACATTTATCTTTTTGCCTTTTACACATGAGGCCATGATCTAGATGCTGTTCAGCCACTTGTTTTTTCTTTCATTTAAGGTATATTGTAAATATCTATCAGTCCATATAGATCTGTCTCATTGTTTTTAATAATTGCATTGTATTCATTTTAATAGTTGCAATAGAAGTCCTATAACTTTTTAGACAGATATAGAACTCTTATAAGTGTTTAGAAATTTCTTACTACAAGCAAATCATTAATATACATTCTTGTATTTTTGTGCATATTGTGCAGGTTAAATTCTCAGAATTGAAATTACTTTAACAAAGGACATATAAATTCTAAATTTTGGTTGCTTTTGCTAAATGATTATTAGAAAGGTTATACTTATTTACACTCCCACAAACAACATAGGAGAGTCTGTTGTTTTACCAGCTATCTCCAGGTTTTAATTATCATTTAAAAAGTTCTTAGTGAAGTTGATTCTTTTATGTTTACTAATTATTTGTGTTTATTTTCTATGCCTTGCCCATTTTCCATACACTGACAATAGTTTTGCTGCACATTAAAGAAATTAGACATTTGTGTGTCAAATTCTAAATAAAAGGAAACTTGTTCCAAACTTTTATACTTTAATAAAATTCTAAGTACTATACATCATAGATAGGCCTTAATGTCATTGATTGAGGATATTAAAAGTTAAATAGTCCCAGCTACTTGGGAGGCTGAGGCAAGAGAATTGTCTAAGCCCAAGAGCTACATAGTTAGTTAAATATGAGAATGCTGGCTATCTATAAAACATAGTGGGTGCCAACATTCAGTTTTGAATAGAATACTAATTTTATTGAGGAAAGTCAGATGGTCTTTCAGAGGTGTCAAAGTATGAGTTAGATCTCAGACTGGTCTAGAACCCGTGAGCTCAGGCAGTTCACCTGCCTCAGCCTCCCAGAGTGCTAAGAGTTGTTTTGGAGGAATAGTAGGGATAAAAATCTTACTGGAATAGGTTTTAAGAGAGAATGAGAGAAGAGGAACCAGAGTACCAGGAGCCAGATGAGTATATTTTGTCAGAACGTTGAGGGGAGCAAGACCTCAGGTAGAGGGAAATACATGTGCTAGCATAGCTGTAGCATTTGGGAATGGTAAGTGAATGTAGCTAGAGCACGGGAAGGATATTGGCCAGTGATAGGAGATGAGACTGGAGGTTTATGCTATACTCTGAAAGGCCTTGTCTACCTTACTTCTTGGTAAATAGTGGAATTTATCAACCCACAGAGAGGTGGAAAGCCATTCAAGATTTTTGAGCCTTCCATCTATTCTGCTCCTTACATTTAATGTCTTGTGTTTAGAAATAAAAAGTATAACTTGTTTACATACATTTGCGTATGTAACTTACTTGAAGTTAGGTGCTTCCACTGACTGACCTTGACTTTTTTGTTCAATAAAAATGTAGGGATCTTGGGCCAGGCATGGTAGCCCACGCCTGTAATCCTAGCACTCTGGGAGGCCAAGG